ATATATATATTTGAATTTTTTAAAATTAAATATTTAATTTTTATGCTCACATTTATCTAACTTTTTTAAATGATAATTAAGTGTATAAATTTAATTTATAGTAATACACCCCCTCTTATTTTTATTTTTATCTCTTTGTCCTTTTAAAAACTTATTAATACATTTTTTAGATATAATTATTTTCATTAAATATTATTACATAAGTGCATCATATATAGAAAAAAATTGAGGAGATTATACTATTATTTCATGAGATTTTGTGAAATTACATTAATACATTGTTATTTTAAACAATATAATATTTTTTAAATAATTAAAAGGTTAATATAAGGTTTAAGTAACGTTAATATAATATTTTTCAAATAATTAAAAAGTTATTATAAGAGTAAAAAAGATAATAATACTTGTATAATTTTATGAAATCATTCTCTAGTGTAATTTACTTACAAATAAAATTGTTCCATGTAACATATTATCATTTATCACTAGATCTTATCATAAATTTGAGACTTATTTTGGACTTTTTTTTTTCGTAACCTACCAATTTCTTAGTCCTAAAAACTCAAAGCTGCCTTTATGAATCTAAAAATAGAAACTGCCTTTATTTTTTGTCACAAAATATTATAATCATATCATACTTTAGTTTTTAGTTAAAAAAATTCTCTAAATTCAATTACTTCACTTAATGAGATGAGGGAGAATTCTCTTTAATATGTGGAAAATTTTAATTGAAAAGTTAATTTTATCCTACATCAAAATGCAGCATCACATCTTCACATCCATGCAAAGGTTGATCAACGGGTGTGTGAGAGAAAATGAACATTTTTCTAGAAATAGAAACATTTCCATTGAAATTGTCGAGTGGGAAAAAAGAGAAGAGAAGAGAAGTGAGAGTCAGATAAAGAAATAAAATTTTCCCGGAAAGGGGATTAGAAATGTATGAATCTTCTGTGTTTGAATCTTCTGATTCGATCGTCCCTCTTAGATCTTTACCCTTTCTTGTTCTTCCTGTTTTCATTCTCCACAACAACATCTCCCGTTTCTCCTTTCCACTTTCTGTCTTTGATTCTTGAATTAGACCTTCAAATTCTGTTAAACCAACAGGGGGGCAAAAAGATCCTATTTTGAGCCTCGCCGGCAATTACCTGCTTCAAATTCAATTCTGGGTCGGTTTCGATTCCATCCACAAGTGCGGATTCACTTCGTTGCAATGTTATTTGTGTCTGAGGTAGGTCTTCAATTTTACTGTTCATGACATGCTCTGTTTATGAACAAATGGCTATCCTTGCGTATCCCTTGTTTTTGTTTTTATGAGTTGATTTTGTTGTTATGGGATTGTCGGAAACCGTGTGAAGGTTATGGTGATGACGTGGCAATGAGGTGTGTGGCAGAAGAATGGAGGGTATTCAGGTGAGGTGCGATAAGCTTCAGGGTGCTGTGATTCCGAGGAGCAGTTTTCGGGTTTGGTTCATTCGAGTGTGTTCAAGCATTGTGCTGTGGACATGTCTGGTTCAGCTAGTGACAGTGAGTGAACTATGGCATTCCCATTTCTTTTTGGGGATCACTAATCGATTCTATCACACGACTCAACGTCCACTCCAACCACAAAATGCACTGGTTCAATCGTCTCCCCCTTTGCTTCCCCCAAGTAAGTTTTTTCTTTGCTTCGAGTCAGTTTGGATACAAGCTAAAAGTGGTCTTAGAACTTTTTCTTATTGGAAAAAGCTATTTATTTTCAATGAAAAAACTCTCAGAAGTATTTCTAAATTTGTATCTAAACAAACTTTCATATTTATCTATATTTGCAAAGTTATTGTTTGCTTAAGTACTCATGGATGTGGTTTGGACTTTGGAGGTATGTAGCTTTGGTCTTGTGATGCAACCTTATATGCGATGTAATTGAGCAATGAAATCTATATTGTTGACTTGGCGTTATATTTGTTGTGAGGAGTAATGATCGTGCTTAGCTGAAAGTTGGTGCAGAATGTTTGTGTTGGTAAACCCTTCTAGAAAAGAATGTATCTATTTTGGGTTGGTGTGTGCGATCAGTTAGAAGGAAGAATGAAAGTATGCTTTCAACTTCAGATGTAGATATCATAGCGAGTAATGATTTATGAGGTCAATATTGATTGGTTGACATTTACCATCATGTTTTGTGGACTCCTGCCAAGGAAGAATTGCTTTATAGTTTATGCTGTTAATGGCCTTAGAAAACAACAATCAAGTTATATTCTTCTAGGTGGGGTAAGCTACATAGATCAACCAATGCCATTGTCTAACTGAAAACCAGAATTTTGGGAAATCTAACCTTTTAACTCTTGTTCTGTAGTCTACCGGCTATACCCCTATTTAATTATTTTCTAGTTGTTCTACTATTCTCATTGAAGCCTATGTTGGTTTTCTTCTGACATTACCAAACCACAATAGGCCGGTTTCCATCATCTTCTCCTCAATATGTGCTCTACTCCAACATTCTCCCAAATACATTCATGCCTTCTATCTTTTCTTGTATGTCAACTGATCCGCTTGATATTCTCATTTCATCTACACTTATTTTTGGCTCTTGTTGATACTTCACTGTCCGCCATTCACCACGACACAATATTTATGATTCTATGGATGTTCAGTATATTTTTCCTTTAAATTTGATGGGCATTTTGTGATCTCAAATTATACTTGAAGCAATGAAGCATTTGTCCATTTCTTTACCGAGCTTGAATCCTGTATGTGATATCTGCACCAATCTATATGTCACTGCACGGAAATTGGAAAGCAAATAAAACTGTAACTATAGATTCCCTGCTTTACACTGGCATCTTTAAGACATGCTTGCTTGCATGTAGGGATTTGGCTCCTCTAAAGCGAGGGATTCATTTTAGAGAGAAAGGTGATAAGTTATGGCCATTAATTGAGAAATCAGTGGTTGAGAAATTTTGTGAAGGTTTTAAGTGCCCCTATCACACCTCCGCTAAGAATCATAGACAACTGTTCTCACCATTTGAATCATTATCTCCCTTGCTGAAACCCCGACCATGGAGACCTTGCCGTCAAAGCCAACAAAAACACTCATTGCTATCCTATTTATCCGAACTTGTATATTTGATCCAAAAAAAAAATAAAATTAAACTCACGACATTTTGACAATATTTCTCTAGTGTTTAATCTATTGGATCAGAAATTTAATTGGAGGCCACTTTTTTCTATAATATTGTGAGCATTGCCTTTTCTTTTTCAGTGGGATGGTTTCTCATTAGAAATTTTGTCAAGGTTTATGGTGGAATTTGGCTATAGCTGGCTTAGCTTGGCCTTTGATGAGAAACAATTCCTTGTTGAATCTGTGTTTGATTCAATACCTTTGCCTTTTCATCATTTCGGCCTCTCAGTGGTGTGAGTGGTTGTTTATGGTTCTCATTGTTGTGGGTGTGGGTGGTTCAGGAATGGTGCAAAAGCTTGGGAGTAGAGAGAGAAATTAATGGGAGAGGAGCAAGAAATGAGTTTTTTTTTTAAATAAATAAAATAATAAATTACTGCAATACCTAAATAAATTTACTATAATAAAATAATTGATCGAGGATTTTGTCCAAATATTTTGGTGTTGATTGCTAATGCACTCCAAATAAAGAAAAGGTATGAGCACAAACTCCATATATTAATTGTGAAATATTTGTATCTGATCACTTGAGGCAGTTTGCTAGTGACTTGTAGGTTTTCTTTTGGATGTTAATAATATTGCTAGTTGCCCAATTGTTTCAGATGGGTTCCCATGAGCATCCTGGTTGCGCCCTATCTTTTGATTTTCAATAGTGTATTCTTAATTATCGAAAGGACTATGTCAATAAGTATAAGTAATATAAATCAATGCATATAAATGGATGGATTGGTAGTAGGGCTATATCATTCTTATGCATTTTGGTAAACACTAAAGCCTTGTGACCTGAAACCTTTCAGGAAATTATACAAGTAATGGTTTTCTAAGAGTGTCCTGCAATGGGGGCTTGAATCAAATGCGAGCAGCGGTATGTACTTCCTATTCAGTTATTTCTCTTTCCTATTCTGTGATAAGCTTAAATGTTCATTTAGCAGTCTCGTCATTTCAGATTTGTGACATGGTGACAGTTGCTCGATTTTTGAATCTCACATTGGTTGTTCCAGAGCTTGATAAGAAATCCTTTTGGGCAGACCCTAGGTATATCATTTGTTTTGAGAATTTCGAAGTATTATTATCTAATTTGACTTCCTTGTCATTTTAAATTTTTGTAGTTATCTTTTTGCAGTAATTTCGAGGACATTTTTGATGTGAGACATTTCATTGATTCTCTAAGAGATGAAATTCGAATAGTGAAAAGAGTGCCCAAAAGGTTTAGTAAAAAAAGTGGATACTCCACCCTGGACATGCCTCCTGTTAGCTGGTCAAATGAAAAGTATTACTTGGAGCAGGTCAGTAGATTGTATTAGTTGCATTTAGGCTAAAACTATGAGCTGTATGTTAATCAGGCCTTTTCTTTAAGGTTTTATGCAATTATTGATTAACGAATCTTCACCTTAACTTCTAAGACATTGATATTTATCATCTTTGGATTGTATGCTCTAACCTTTCAGTCTAAGGGAAGGCTATGTTTTGTGTTCTGGTTGCTTTTAAGAGGCTAGTTTCCTGTTACTTGACCCCCTGCCTGATTTATATTTGAGGATTTAGTTTTACTGTAATATACAGTTCTATTTTTCCAGTATCCTAACATTTCCCTAAATTGCCTTTTGTATATATGGGAGTTTTAGAGAATATCTTAGAACAGATAATATTTATGATTGTTGGCATGTAATGATCATCTTATTCAGAGTTTTATTATATGTAGGAAAATGTCAGAAATTGTATTTGCCAAATTAAATGGGAGTATACAATATTGTGGATATTTATTCTGAATCATACTTTTGTTACTGATTGCTAGTATGTTGTAGAATTGTACTCTTGATTGTGTTATTAGATGCACACATAGACTAAAAAGTGGTGATCACTTGTATATAAACTTGGGGTTCCACAAAATTGCTAATATTTTCTCTACTAAATTACCACTTTACTTTTTTACACCTGTCCATCATGGGAGGGTGAATGGGGACAATGGCTAACTAAGTATTTTCTTCCATCTGAGAACTTTTCTTTTGAAGTTATTGTTTCTTATTATGAATGTCCATGAACTTTTTTTGTTTATTTGATCATAATAATTACATAAGAGGAATTATCAAAATCATAATACAGGATAAATAAGACAGATGTTGAGGGTTGTATTGGTTGTAATTATCAACATCATAATAATTACAATTGAATGGAGATTTGCAACTATCAATTGAATAAATATCTGTATATAAAAGATTACAAGTTAAAGAAATAGATGGCTTCTAGTATTTTAGCACATTGAATGTGCAGCTTCTGATGTAGCAATAGCCACTTCCCAAATAGCACTTAGTAATCAAGTGTGTGAAAGTTATAATATTATACATTTTCTTATATTTTTCTCCCTTGCTCATTTTGAATAGTACATGTCTTGAGTTTGATTCCATGCTGTTGACTCCACACTGCAGATTCTGCCACTTTTTGAAAAGCATAAGATAATACACTTCAACAAAACAGATGCACGTGTAGCAAACAATGGTCTCTCACTTGATTTACAGAAACTCAGGTGTCGTGTTAATTACCAGGCACTTAAATTCACTCCTCAAATTGAGAATTTGGGCCAAAAATTGATTCGGATACTTCGTGAGAATGGACCTTTTGTGGCATTGCATCTGAGATATGAAATGGACATGCTGGCATTCTCAGGTTGTACTCATGGTTGCACCAATGAAGAGGCCGAGGAGCTTAAGAGGATGAGGTATTTTATATTTCATGTTTCATGTTTTGTAAATATATTTTATGTATTTGTTGTTTTCTCTATCACGTAGCTAAATTGCCATTGATTCTAAAAAGTTAATTAGGCCTCCTGTTCAATCATAATAGAGACCTGTATGCTAGTTGCTTGAGATGGTGGAAGCACCGTCTAATTAAAGGAGAGCAGTGGATAGTTCATGAATCACATGATATGTTGGATTTGGCATATTTTTAACAATTACATATTAGTTACCTTCACTTCATAAAATATAAATATTCCTGTGACCAAAGTTATTTGTAATGAGCTGACATAAGAGGGATCTACCTCATAAAATTTTGATCTTGCTTGTGTGATTCAGGTATGCATTCCGTTCCTGGAGAGAAAAGGAGATAGTGTCTGAAGAAAGAAGATCACAGGGTCTCTGTCCTTTGACACCAGAGGAGACTGCCTTAATTCTGCAAGCCTTAGGTTTTGATAGGGAGACACCAATATATATCGCAGCTGGTGAAATTTACGGTGGTGAACATAGATTAGCACAACTGAGAGCTGCATTTCCTAGAATTGTGAGTTCACCATTATCCTCCTCCCCTTCTTTTCTGTTTATAGTTTGGTCTTTCTATATTTGATAAAATCAAGATCCTAAGTAGGGTTAGGAAGGTAGCTAAAGAACATAAAACATGGGATCGTTCTTTTAAAAAAATTAAAATAAAACATGGGATCATAAAACATCAGAAGTTCCTACAAAATTCATAATGCATGTGTGTGCATATAAATTCATATATACAACTGAGCGCATGGATTGACTGGCGTGTGATTGTTTCACATAATTAGTAGCCTTGAGTTCAAATTTTAGATATGCAATTGCATTAAATATTTGGAGAGAAAATTTTGTTGCTCATAGCAGTCCTACTCTACCCGAGCTAGATTGCCTCATGTAGAGGATACCCTTGGTCTTACAATATTATGTATATTTATGTATGCATACAAAACATCATATGTAAGAAAAAAGACTTTAAATCACTGCAAAGCACATGCTTAAACTTATTTATAATACATAACTCAACTTGAGCTAGATTGCCTCATGTAAAGGCTACCTGTGGTCTTAAACAAACAAAATAATATATGCATACAAAACAGCATACATAAGAAAAAAAGACTTAATCACTGCAAACACTTGCTTAAACTTAATATATAATATATAAGGTCATATATAACTCATAAACTATTAACAACTTAAGTCAAAAACTCCAAACACAATCTCAGCTGAACCACAGAACAAAGGAGAGAAGAGAGATGTACAAGGCAGAACCACAAAAATGAAGAGAAGAGGAAGATGCAGTGATGCATAAGGAAGAACCACAGGCACAAAAGAACTAGGAGAGTGGGGAATCTGAAACGAACCAAAAAAGCCAAAAAAAAAAAAAGTAATTTGGGGCTTTGGTAGTGGAACTCAGTCAAAAATGGGTTGCCCATGGGTTTTCTGGTTTAATGCTTCGTTTGGATTATGAATGAAATAAAGAGGGAAAGAAATATCAAGGACAAAAATAGCAGAGAAATAAAATGGAAAAAATGTTTTATTTGGATGGATAAAAACAGGAAGGAAATATGTAGAGAAATCTCTCTCCATTTGTTTAAAAAAGTGAAAAGAAAAATGAATTTTAAGAAAAATATGTTTATACCAATTAAAAATTAATTTAATCTACTATTTTTGAAAAAAATTATGCTATAAAAATATTATTTAATTTCTTAAGCAGCATTTCATGCACTGTGTACAAAAATAATGGGTAGAAGGAGAGAACATATAATATGGTGAGACGCACAGATTTTTACAACTTCCCAACTCCCCTCCAAACAAAGGAAATACCTAATATCTCTCTTTAAATCCTCTTTCCTAAATCCCTCCCTTCCAAATCACCCTAAACAAATGCAGCATAGGGTGGGATTGCACGACCACATCGATCCTATGAGTTTTCTTGATGATCCTGCCATTTCAGCAAAAGAACGTGTTACAGCTTTGATCAGGATAGTTTGTTGTGGCAAAGATTGTAAGATCTTTCGAGTTGACATGCAATTTTAACTACCTTGGATATAATAAAATGCTGTAATGGATTATGGGGGATTATGCAGAAAGCAAAATTGTCCATTTGCAGTTTACATCACAAATATTATGACAGATTCAAGTTTGAAAGAAATTTCATATCCTTTACAAACCTTATCTACACATATTCACTGTTTCTGCTCATCTCAAAATTCTTTTGACTTTTAGGTTAAGAAAGAGACATTGCTGGGCCGTGAAGAGTTGCAGCAGTTTCAGAATCATACATCACAAATGGCAGCATTGGATTTTATGGTTTCTGTAGCCAGTAACACCTTTATTCCTACCTATTACGGTAACATGGCAAAACTTGTAGAGGGCCATCGCAGGTGTGCAGGCTCTCTCTTGTTAGTTGCAATTTGATTTTGATTTTGTTTGGATAAACTTCTCAAAAAGTACATATAGAACAAAATACAAAGGTAAAATGGATTAAGCTCTTTTCATAAACTTGAATTAACTTATATATAAAGTTAAAATAAGCTTTTGAAGAAGTTAAATGAAAAAAAACTTCTATAAATTAGTTTATACATAAGCTAATTTTAAGTTATGGAAAAAGTTTAGTGCAATTTGTCTTACTTTCTTTTTCTAGAAGTGTTGAGAAATTTATCTAAACAAGATCTTTATATAAAATGCTAAAAGCAGCCAGCTTTAATGAAAAAAATAATAGAAAATTCTAACTAGTCCTCCTGCAGGTATTCTGGTTTTAAAACGTCCATCTTATTGGATCGGAAAAGGCTTGTAGAATTGCTTGATATGCATCAAAATGGAACCCTTCCATGGAATGAGTTTGCAAATACTGTGAGACAGGTTCATGAAAAGAGAATGGGACAACCAATTCATCGCAGAGTTGATGTAAACAAACCAAAAGAAGAGGATTATTTCTACGCCAATCCTTATGAGTGTCTCTGCGAGGGACCAAAGTGTGATGACTTGCTAGGTCCTCCTAACTCTAGTCAAACACGATGAATACAAGTTATCAAATGTATAAAGGCACTCCTGTTCAACCATGAGTTTGAAAGAGGAAATTATGAATGACCTTTATAAATATGTACACGTGAATTTGTAGAGAACCATGGAAAAGAAAGTAAAAGAAAAAACAAAAAGGGAAAAAAGAAGGAAATATCAGCTTCTGTTGAGGCATGCAAAGATGTATGATTTATCTTCAATTTCACTCTCAATCTATTTATTTATTTATTTATTTTTCCAAATTTGAGTACAGTGTAGTTATATATAACAATAGTTTCATGTCACAACCTTAAATTCGGATCAGGCATTCTAAAGTTCATTACATCTTCCTCTTTTACAAACAATAAAGTAATAGGTTGTTATAAAGGGGGAGTCAAAAACTTGATTCTGATACTCTTCAAAGATCAATTGAACATGGATTTGTCTTGGAAGCCTCCTTTTGTGAGTTACCAAGATGTAATGTTTTCTCGTCCTTTGAAAATGAAGACAAAAGCGTGTCCTTAACGGGTGCAATTGCTTCTGCTTCCTAGAAGAATTTTCCAAGGTCACCAAGGATATCACCATTTTCCCCGCAAAGTCCGAGGTCCTTGAGCCTCCTTTCTTGATAATATTCTAACTGGTCCAATTCCAATTCTTTCTCCTTGAAAATCTCATCAATTTGCTGCAGGAGCTTCTTCTCCCCTTCTCTGATTCCAACTGCTATAGCAAGTCTTGAATCTAGCTTTGTTTCTTTCAACTTTTGATCCTGCCATTCACTAACTTTGTTAAGTTATTTCTTGAGCTCAATCAGCACCAAAATTCTCAAAATTTAAGGTGCATAAAGCCATATACGGATATACCATTGTAAAATGTCATTTAATTCCTTAAAAAATGTCAGTTATGATAACCAAACCTCATATTGATTATCATCATGAAGGGTGGGTCATATGGAGAGGGGAGCATGCTTTAGTGACCTAAATTTCCTCTTATATTATAAATTAAAATATATAACTTAGAGAGTAGTCTTACTCTCCTCACTCTTAATTAGACATTTTTAATGTTTTCTATCTTCTTTTGTTTTGATGTGCATTTCACACACTATCTCATAGTTAACCCAAAAAAATATTTCTCAATCATTTTAAACTACTATTTTTTTAATCTTTATTTGTATACTTAATTTTCTCAATAATTTATATCTTTTAATCTACTCTCATTTATTTTTGTTTTTAAAACAAATTTCAAGATTTTTTATTAAAAATATCTAAGTTAATAACCTTATATTATAATTTAAATTATATAATTTTACATAGAATTTTTATTTATTTATTATATATTTTAATTATAATATAATTTAAGAAAAAAAATACACTCACCTCCCTTGTCATCTTCTTAAATGACACTTGCACCACCTCTGGTTTTTGAGCAAACACTCTGGTTGTCTATTTAAAAAACTAGAGGAGTGTGTCGTTTAAGAAAATCTCAAACAAAGTAAGTGCAATTTTTGCTAAAATTTATATTAAAAATTTATAAAAATAAACACTTATCATTTGAGAAACATAGACTAAAATACTAGTTAAAATCACACCTCTTCAATGGTTGTATGATAACCAGCGAGTGCAGTTTTGCAGGTCTCTCTAACCACTCTACATATTAGCTCTTCATTGTCACGGCTCACAGGCACTTCAAGATGGCCCCAGATGGAGTTTCTAAACAGTGACTCCAATAGGAATGCATCAGTGCCCCCAACAGCTACTAGTCTCAGATATGGAAGCAACCCTGGTGGAAGGGGCTGGTTGTGGAAGATGTCAAAGTATGCTTTCTCACCAAAACCACTAGACTCAGCAATGTCTAGTTTGTCATCATAAAAGGGGTCTGACTCAGATATCTGCAGTGTCAATGTATATGCATTCCGATCTGCATTTGGTTCAATGAAACCGTAGTCCAAAGCCAACTCAGCGTTGCTTTTGTTTAAATCATATTGGATATATACCTGAAGAGAAAAGTTCCTTACATTGATAAGTCAGTGTAACTATATTATGATTGTAATTTATGTTACCAATTGCACGGTTGAAAGAGGTAGTTTGTGCCTCTGAATACAACATGGATTGACGTTCTAGTGAAACTTTCTAGCACTTATGCACTTAGTTAATATATAATATAAGCTTCTTACATACAATGATGTTCCTATAGGCGAAAAGGCCTTATATGGACATAGATGGAATTCTAAGGGTATGTTGTGAAAAATGAAACGTGAAAAGAGAAAAATAAGAGGTAACAACATTTCACCTGATCTCCAGCCTTGAGAGAAAGGGGGCTCCTAAGGGAAAATAGGTAATCCCAGGAGAATAGGCCTGCTGCTCCTTTAATTTCATAAGCATGATCTTCTGTAGTTACTCTGGCACTATGGTTTATCTGATCCAGAAATTGAATTTGGAGAAGATAGTATCAGCACAAAAAACAAGTAAAATGTCTACTTTAGTAGTAAATTTTTGGTTTTGTGTACTATCAGTATCTACTCCTTTGACAGTTTTTTTTTTTGGGTTTTTGGTAAACCATAGTATCCTTAACCGAAAGTTAAGAACGAATCCTCCGAGATACTGGGATTTATTTAAGAGTTTGACTTTTTTTTAATAAATATTTTTTCATATATACAGACAAAAGATCCAACTCTTGACCACATGTTTAAGGGACGAGATTATCTATTGACCACACTTTGTTTTAATGGTTACTCCTTTGACAGATAATCCTCTTAAATTGATAGTTTTTTTTTTTTTTTTTTTATCTGAAAAAATAACCATACATGCGTGGTGTGATGATTTTGATGAAAGGAGTACAATCTCATAGAGTACTGAAGACTTTTTCCCACACTAGGAATATAACAGTAACAGACAATTATTTATCTATGTTCATGTTTATCTCTCTTCTCTCTTTTTCGGCAGGCATTGCTTGTAGTCAATCCTGAGTGCTTTAGTGTACAGAAAGAGAGAAAATGAAATAGGACCTTACCAAGTCAGCTAGGGGAATCACAACTAGATTTTCATTGCGAAGTCGAGAAAAAGCCCTTGATCTTAGAATTCCAAACGCCCAGAAGAAGTCATCAAGTGTAATAGGGGAAGGGAAAAGGTTTTTGTTAGGGAGTATAATTTCTTCTTCCAATCTCCTAAATTCATTCTGCACATACTCTTTCACACTCAGTGTTGTGTTTAGAAGTTGAGTCCCTACACAAATCAGTTCAACCAGTGAAAAACTTAAAAAAAAAAAAATGAAGCACGTTAGCAAAGAAACTACTACAAATCACCGTATTTTTTTTAATCATTTATTTACATGCTGTTGCTTTAAAACATTGACAAAGCTAACCTTGCAACTCTGTGAGCTCCTCCTCTGACCTGCACTGGAATAACCAATTACCAACTGAATCAACCAACCATATGAAAACATGTAACAACTCAAATCCTCATTAAGAACATGTTTCGATAAACTTTTACAGAAACACTATTAGGAGAGAAAAATATGAATGAAAATCAAATAAGTTTCACTACATGCTAAAACTAGTTTATGCATCAAGCTAAAAAATGAAATTTTTTAAAAGTTAATAAGAAAAAATTTCTACAAAATAGCTTAAGTATAAACCAATTTTAGTTTATGAAGGAGTTTATTTTATTTTTTACTTCCTATTTTACTCTTTTAGAGATGTTTTTAGAAAAGTTTATCCGATGAGCACTAAACATGTTTCACAAGCAAAACCAAAAGAAACCCACCAATATATAGTAGAGTCAGTTTCCTTTGGCAGAACAGCAAAGTAGTGCTTCCAAATAGAATCAGCCCTTGACCTCTCTCTTATCAAAAACAGTGCAACAGCCAACCAAGGCTTCAATCCACTACACACTTTCCCAATCTCTGAAGCTGCCACAGCATCAGGGTTAATCCAGAGCCTCTTGGGGACCTGCAAAACAACCTCATTCCTAGAAATATCTTTGAGTGCAACCAGTCCTAGGCCTTCTGGCACCACTCCAGGCTTCACTGGGGTCTTGGCAGAGACAACACCTTCTTCCTTGAGCCACTGCCAGAAAGTGTCAACTGCTGGAGGCACTGATATCTCGGTCCCTAAAGAAGCCACACAGTTGGCAGCAGAGAGATGGGGCCTATTGAGGTGAAGGGGTGGCCCTTTGGCTGCAGAGGGGAAGAAGCATTTGGTGTGAAAGAGAAGAGCAGAACCTGAACATGCAGAAAAAACACTAGCCATTTTTCCTCTGGTTACTGCTTTTGTATGTTGTGTAGTGTTTGTTGTGGTGTTTCTCAAAGGTGAGACTTCGATCTTCTCCTTCTTGGTAGTTTGTGGATAAGATTCTTCTCTTCTTGCTGCTTCTTCGAGCCTATCATTCACATTCAACAAATCACATATTCAACATTTTTATTTAGAAAAATCCTACAACATAAACTAACATTTTTTGGAAACTTAATTACACTTTTAGTTTCTTATTCCACAAATTGTTTTTTATTTATTTATAAAAGACAAATATTTTTTAATAAATTAAGTAATTATATATATATATATATATATATATATTATTTGATTAAACTGTTTATTTTAAAAATAAAAAGTCTGCATTTTTTAAGAAGTAATTTCTATTTAATTTTTAAAAAACAAAAAAAATTATAATCATATTTTATAGTTTTAAAAAATCAACTAAATTCAACATGCGATTTTGATATCTAAATTTTAATTATGTAATTTTATTTCTAATTTTAATTATATAATTTTATTAAATATGTAATTTTGGACCAATTCTTACCTATTTCGTTCAATAACATAATTCTTTATATGACATTAAAAATTTATATTTTATAATATTTAAATTAAATTAAATTTTTTATTGTTTTATTTTTATATCATAAAAATGGGTGAAGAAATAAAAATGAAAAAAGTAAAAAATGTATTTTAATTTAAATATTATATCCTTTAATTAATCTCAAATCATAATTAATATTGCAATTTTTTTAACCAAATCAATATTTAAATTCTAACAATTAAGAATGTAAAACTATGAATTTTGTAAGCTTTATTAATTTTATTAATTTTGAGCGTTGCCCTACTTAGTTGTTAATTGTTGTGGGACTCTGACCATTTTCAAATCGAAATTGAGTTTTTGTTTTTTAGGAAGTATTTTAAGTAGAGGTTAGATTGACTTCTCTCAAGAAGAGATATAAATATTTTAAGACATGACTTTGATATCATTTCTGAAAGAAAACTAGACAAAAATTAGAAAAAGGAGCTCATTTGAAAAAACCCTTTCTTCTCTAATTCTTTTGGAAATTATTAAAAAACGTTCTTTGAATTGTAATGAATAGTTGAGTGGAGATTCATCAACTTGGGTTGGCAAAAATATCAAGGAATTCATCGCTTGACTAAGTGACCAAATATCAAATCCAGACTCTCGCAAATGTAAAAAATTCAAGTTGAGAGAAGATGTCTGTTAGGATATAAATAAGTCTTACATCGATAAAAAAAGAGAATAAATAATAACTTATAAAACACACACATACTCCAATAATTGATATGCCTTTTGGATGATGACCAAAAGCAAAATCGTAAAGGCTTAGGCCCAAAGCGGATAATATCTCATCATTGTGGAGTTGTGTGTGAAATAACCTTATAAAAATAATCCTTAATTATAAAATATTCTCTCAGACAAATACTATAAAATAACCCTAACAATGGTATTGGTCATTAGAGTTGCAGGTTGGATTCAGTGACAATCAATAAAGACAAATTTTGCTACATGAAAGATTAGGTCTCTTGTTTGAGGGGGACGATTACTGGGATACAAACAAATCTCATCGATAAAATAAGAAAAGAAATAACAACTTATAAAACATACACATACTCTAATGATTGAGAGGCCTTTTGGATAATGATCAAAAACAAAATCATGAGGGCTTAGGCCAAAAAAAAAAAAAATTTCATCATTGTGGAGTTGTGTGTGAAATAACCTTAGAAAAATGACTCTTATAAAATACCTCCTTAGACAAATACCATAAAAATAACCCCATCAGTGTCTACCTATTTAGTACTTTTTAAATCCTTGAAGGAAATTGCCTTTGTGTTCAACAGAGAATACTCCTTGGTAATGAAATTTTTTTTTGAGTATCTTCTTCTAGATATTACCATTTATAAGATATTAATTTGTGGGAAAGTCTTCTCCATAATCTATTGGTAAAGGGGAAAAAAGTTACACCACACCCAAAATCTTATGCCTAACCACTACATCCATATATGTGTGTAGAAGGAGTATGTTCTAAGATTTTTAGGTAGAGTTGTCAAAATGGATCGGTCCGACACATTTGGCTTGACCCACCTCAATCCACTTTTGAAGTGGGTTAACCCAATCTGACCTATCAATCTTAATATCCAAAATTTTTTAACTCGGCCCAGGCCACCATGAATTGGTGAGTTAAACGGGTTAGTCTACCAACCCACCTAATTATTATTTTTTATTTAAAATAAACTCTAATCTAAAATAATCTCTAATCTAAAGTAAAAAAATTGTCAAATTAAGTATTGTATTGTCCGTACCGCGAAGCCGAGCTTCGAGCTCGGCATCACAGCACAAAATGAGGTCGGGCACGCGCTACGTGACGTCAGCTCGGCATTTAAGCAGATCATAACCGATCTCTAGGGATCTCACTTCAGACGGGATCCACCATTTAATCCTATCATATCTTATCTCAGGCCCAAGGCCCAAAGCAACCCTAATTCACACTAAGGTACGTGCATTACTTATACGAGATTCATACTCCCACAAACACTAACTTGAGCATCGGAGTCTCTTTTGCAGGTACCACCCCCATCTTGGAGCACTAGCGTACTCGTGAAGGAGGCTCACCGATCTTACCTGGCGGATCAGCTCTACAGCAGATTTCCGGTAAGAACATTTGGCGCCCACCGTGGGGCCGATCAAGACAGCTCTTATCGGCCACGCTTATGGTTCGCACCAGAAGCCATAGTAGACGCACAACAGACGACGCAAACCACTCAACTACCATGGATAATGAAACAACGTTGAGAAGATTAATCGACCAGGTCGAACAGATGCGGCAGCAACACGCCATCGACCTCCAAATCATGCGTGCCAAGCACGACACTGACCTAGCGGCATTGCGTACCGCTAATGAGGCTGACCTAGCAGCTCTGCGCGCGGAAAATAAGAGGATTCGCGCTCAACCCCAGCGGCGACACTCTGATCATCCCTCTGGCTCTCAACCCAACCCCGATGGAGCAATGCGAGCCGAGGTAGCCCAGGAAGCAGGATCAACTCCCCCACAAGGAGTGATCAGCACAATTGCAGGAGGTTTCGCAGGAGGGGGAGGCAGCAGCTCGGCCCGAAAAAAACACCTGCGCAACGTCAACCGCGTACAATTCACCACCTCTGCTTCGCACCAGAGCTCGCTGACGATCACTTTCACCGACGATGACTATGCCGGGGTCAACCCCAACCAGGATGATCCCATGGTTATCACCGTGGCATTAGCCAATTGGGAGGTTCACAAGACCCTGGTCGACCAAGGGAGCTCGGCCGACATCCTATATTGGCCAACGTTCCTCAGGTTAGACGTCCCCCACTCTTTCAAACAACCTCACACAGAACCCCTAGTCGATTTTGCAGGAAAAAGTGTTCACACTCGGGGATACGTGGACCTAATGACGACTTTCGGAGCACCTCCGGATTCAAGGCGGGTCATGGTTCGATACCTCCTCGTGGAAGCCGACACCTCCTATAACATCATCATCGGCAGGCCAACCTTAAATCAGCTCGGAGCGGTGGTGTCCACACCACACCTCACCATGAAATTCCCAGGGCATGATGGGAAGATTATCTCCGTCAAAGCAAATCAGAAGATAGCACGAAAATACTACACCGAAAGCCTGAAAATCGCCTCACTTGGCGAACAGTGCAAGAGCAACCTTACCGCCGTGGCTCACACCAACCACGAAGAAATCACTGACCTCGATCCAAGATCCGACGCTCATGAAGAGCGGCCTAGCCCCGTTGACAAACTCGATGACCTCCAGATTGGGGAACTCCCCGGGCAAACCACGAAGATCAGCAGACAGTTGACTCCAGAGTTGCGGCAGCAACTTGAAGTGGAAATCCTCAAGAATGCCGACCTCTTCGCCTGGTCTAGCGCTGACATGCCAGGCATAGACGCCGATTTCATCTGCCACAGGCTAGCAATACACAAGGAGGCAAAACCAATCGTCCAGAGGAAGAGGAAGGTTGGCGGCGAAAGACGGGAGGCCATCGTCGTCGAAACATAGAAATTGCTCAACGCAGGCTTCATCCGTGAAGTCAGATACACCACATGGCTGGCGAACGTGGTCCTGGTAAAGAAGAACTCGGGGAAGTGGCGTATGTGCGTCGACTATACCGACCTAAACAAAGCATGCCCCAAGGACTCATACCCTTTGCCGAGCATTGACAGGTTAGTCGACGGAGCCTCCGGACACGCCCTCCTCAGTTTCTTCGACGTCTACTCTGGGTACAACCAGATAATGATGTACCCACTTGATGAACTGCACACGTCCTTCATCACCGACCACGCCAACTACTGCTACCGGGTGATGTCCTTCGACCTCAAAAACGCGGGGGCAACCTACCAGCGGCTGATGGATAAGGTCTTCCATCAACAGATCGGGAGAAACATGGAAGTTTACGCCGACGACATGGTAGTCAAAACCACCTCGGCGACAGACCACGCTACCGATCTCGCCGAAGTATTCGCCCAGGTCAGGAAGCATAACATGCGCCTCAACCCGGAGAAATGTGTCATTGGTGTCCAGGGAGGAAAGTTCCTCGGCTTCATGATTACCAGCAGAGGAATCGAGGCCAACCCCGAGAAGTGCAAAGTCATCATCCATATGCAAAGCCCACAAACGATGAAAGAGGTCCAACGCCTGGCCGGACGGTTAGTCTCACTGTCCCGCTTCATTCCCAAACTCGCGGAGAAGGCGGGACCAATCTTCACTCTGCTAAAAAAGCCAAAAGATTTCCTGTGGACAGATCAGTGCGAAGAAGCATTCCAAAGCTTCAAAACCTTCCTCACAACTCCACCGATCCTACAGAGGCCGGATCACAACACCGACCTCCTCCTCTACTTGGCAGTAGCAGAAAACGCCATCAGCGCAGTTATCTTATAAGAACACCAAAAGGTACAAACACCTATCTACTTCATCAGCCGAGTCCTCCAAGACGCGGAAAGGAGATACCAAATGATCGAGAAGCTGGCATTGGCGCTCGTCACTGCAGCTCGGCGGCTCCGACCCTACTTCTAGAGCCACCAGGTGGTATTCAAAACTGACTACCCCATCAAGCAAATTCTGCGAAAAC